TACTCAATAAAAGTAATCATTGAAGTTATCATTGCCGAAAATTTGAAGCAGATAAATATAATACTATATTGATGTATGTATGTATGTATGCATGCATATATATATGTATAAGCATACACACACAACATTGTTTATTTTTCAATGTGTAAATACACTTGTAGAAAACCTTTCAAATTTTAATTCCAGCCAAACGTACAAAGTAGCAAATGTATCGCAATGTAACTTTAAGCATAAAAACTCAAATAACAATAAATTTGTTCGATCATACATAAATTAATAGTAATGAGCAGATCGCAAGTCGTTTGAGCGATGCCAACAGAAGATACTCAAGAAATTTAATAGACCGACACGCACACCAGTACACGCACATTTTCATTTTGCACAAATTAACGCGGTCAGGCCAGACCATTGATTGACTTAAGCGGTACGAAACAAAATCGATGTCGTCGTCACTGGCATTGCAGAAACAACAGAAACAACAGAAACAATCGTAACATAACTTTTCGCTGCTCTGCACTCTAAATAACACAACACACAATGTTGACATTGATGCTTGGCCCACAACAGTTCTTACACTTCTTACACTTTACAGTTTACACTTTACGCTTTGCAGTTTGAGCGAAACGTAAACAAGAACAAGCCCCCAAAAGCGACTACTAACCACCGCTACGGTGGAGCATTGCCAACAATGCCTCCAAATATGGTTATTCCAAAATTTTGTTTACTACTGAACAATTAACCCGATTTACGTTTTAAATGCTCTTCAAAAAAAATTATTTTCATAATTCTTTTTTTTTCTTATATTTTGCTTATATGGTTCAATTATTTTTTACATTTAATTGTTTAATTTTTTTTTTTCAATATATCATTTATATATCATTTGTAACTTGAACTTGTAAGTGCACACTGCCATAATTTCACTCACGCAAATTTAATATTAAAACCTTATAATTATTATATGTTTATATGGTTTTTACATTTCAGTATAACCGTACGCCGCAACGTCCGTTCGCTTTCGTATCTACATCAATAACTGTGGTACCCGATTCGAGACCGTACTTCACACGACACATGTTCAAACGTAACTGAAAGTGGAAAAGTAAATCAAAACGCAAAAGAATGCCCAATGAACAGTTGATGTGCACCGTCATAACGTCAATGGGATAACAAAAACGAGAAAAGCTCTTTCGAAAAGTTTCTTGAAGCGAGTATATGTGTGTCTAGGCGTGTTTGCATGTATGAGTGAGAGTGGAAAAGAAGTGTTCGTGTGTGTGTATATATTGCCGGTCGAATTTTCTTCATATCTATTGTATTAAAACCTTAAAAGAATCTAGTAAATATAATATATGTAGTTTGAAGTATTAATTGTTTAAAGAGTCTTAGTTTTACTTGGGTAAAGTGGGCAGAGAAAACTTATTTTCAACATATAATTGAATTAAATTATAATAACTTTATATTAATAGTAGTATTAATATATCATATTCATAATATATCATATTGTATAACTTACAGATTTGTCTAATAACTGTTTAATGTTGAGCATCTGGGCAATTTTACTCTTTGATAGCTGGGGGCTTTGTGCAGGGTCCCACCCATCTCGCTGACTAATTTGTGTATTCCTTATAAGCATCGAGTGATCTAAGATCTGCGTACCGCCCCGTGCAGTTAGTGTTTACTCAGAGATTAGATAGTTCTAAGTAGGTTAGCCTGTCGGTTTTCGCATATAGCAACAGGGTTCTGTCCCTTATGTATTTTTAGACCGGTCTCTTAGCATGTCATTCGTGCGGATGTACCTTGGCACTTTGAAAAGTCGTCGGAGAATAGATTTGATATTTGTATATATAATATGTTAAGGTCGTGGGTTGCGGCAGTCTCTGAAACTTTTTATCACAATTTCTGTTTTTAACCGGCTTTGCTATAGGCGATGACGATACTAGGACAAGAGTCTTTTTTCCCATATGCTATGAAGTGGTTTTCAATCATTTTTAAACTGACAGAAAAAAACTGTGTTACCTTCTGCCAGTTTCTGTCAATATTTGCAATAGATTTTTCCATTAGGTTAATTTGTTTCGCTTAATTAAACATATATACTAGTAATATTCGTGAACACAATATATTCTTCTTATAAGTTTATTTTTATCGCTCTTAAATATTTTTATTGTTAATATATAAAGATTATATATTTATTATTAATTTATTTAACAATAAGAGAAGCATGACATACCATATAAATAATGTTCTATGACCTACCATAATATATACCTAATATTAGAAATCGTTTAAACAACATAACGTAAACGAATTTAGAAAAAAGAAAGCTAATAAATATGATATAATATAATATCGTATTAATACATTATTATAATAGAAGGAACATTGGTACTATATGACCTATAAAACCTGTGTTATATATTATATATTTTTAATATACCTATACCATTTTTTATTTGGTATATACCAAGCAGCAAATGAAATTTGCTTATTAAACAAAGAATTAGTATATCAAATAAACATATATACGAGCTATTAGTTTATTTATATTCCCGTCTACGATATACAATCAGAATGCGGAATATCCCCTCTATATATCCCCCTCTAAAACTCTGTTTTCGTATGAATATTCTATTTGCTCTGCTCCATCTACGTACACGAAACACCCTTCAATTGTTCTCAAAAGTCAATGCTGCACCAACACATATTCAAATCCCGTATTATTACGCGTAATATTGAACTTTTGTAAAGTTTACCGTAAGCAGCGGACGACAGAGACCTTGGGGCCCAGATTAAAGCTCATTGAGTTAAATTTTAATGGAGCAGTTGAAGCAGTTGGAGCGGGAGTCTTTTCCATTTGAAGAGCGCTGAATTTTTTGCGTCTTCTTTTCTCATTTCTTCTTAAGTTTTTGTATGTTTTTGCATTTATTGTTTGCCGTTTGCCGTTTTACGTTTGTTGTTATTGTTATTTGTTTTGGTGCTATGCCTTGTTTATAGTAAATATTTTCGTAGATTTTTATTTGCTGTTTGAACTTGAACTCTTCACTAAACTCGCCTTTCGAAGCCCAATAAATAATGCACTCACTTCAACTTTTTCATTGGTGTTTTCATTGAAATGGTGTTTTCTTTCGAAGTAAGAATCAAAATAGAATGAAAATAATTAATTTTGTTTATTGCTTATTACGTATGCATACTATTTAGGTTAGATAAGAATATCACTCACTGGGTGATATCTGCAATGGATTTCCAAATTTGCGATTAAAAGATTAAGTACTAAAATTTTTAATACAAAATATTATGATATAAATTATTTAACTAAAATAAATGAACTTAATTGCTATAGTTTTATTTAAATTAATTAAAATTAACTAATAATTAATATAATTATTAGTTATTATGGCTTCTTTTGTAATGCTAACAATAATTCTTTCTTAAAATACGACAGCTTACGTACATACACATACATACATATATAGAATAAATTATCGATTTAATATTTCCTCCCATTAACTAAATTTATTAACATGCGTGCCCTGCCTATTAAGTGCGTTTATATACATACATACATATATATATTTAATTTTTTCGTTTAGTAGTTGGAGAAACATTAAATTAAATATTCAAAAAGCAGATGAAAATGGATTTGAGCTCGAAAGTTTATTTGGAATTCATTTCTAAAATTGATACGCATGTTTGTGATGGAAGCTTTCTCGTGTCCTTAAATATCTATTAACCCATTTCATTGATGGTTTTATGCAAGTTTGTGTGTTAAAGTTATTCGCTGCGCTTTATCGTGCTGTAGATGACCAGACGCTCACTTCCTTATCAATGCAACAAGCTAAAATATTTCATGTGAAATAACCTGAGAGCTTTCATGCACTTCATTCAAATGAGCAAAAACGTAGGCAGAATAAAAAACTCAAATTGAGTGAAAATATTGTAAGGTGACCAGTTGTTGGTTTATTTTAGCGTTCATATAATTTTATCGGAGCGACAAAATTTTCCTAAGCACCGGTATTTGACTCGAGATACAGAGTGAACTTTTTACATTGATTATAGATTATACGTGCCGTATGGCAACTAATGCATAGTGTAGGTGTTTTCTTTGTGAAAACTTGCAACTATATCTCAAGAAACATTTTGATCGTGAGTTTAGCCAGGAAGCGTGGCAGGGGGAGATGGAGGTATTGAGGGTACAACGATATTTTTATATAAATAGTTATTCACAAATGAAATAATCATAATCAGGATGCCTAATACTTTTTAACTACTATCACAATCAGGTAAGGCATTATTTCGGCGACACGTTAAAAATGTGGCGAGGAGCTTGGCTACCCCCGTTATTATTAATTAATTAAGTCGTTAGTACTATACACAGCGACGTTCTCAACCAATCATTAACTTTTTAATCAATTTGAGCAGTTTTGTCGGTTTTTCATTATTGATAAGTGATAAGGAGCAACAAGTCTATGATTTTAGGTTGCTTTCATTTATTTATTCTCTTCTGACTCGTTATAAAATAAACTGTTTTATACATTTGCGGTCGATTTTATACTACTGTACCGTACCGCATCTGGGAGTGTATATCACTAAGAACAATTTAAGGCTATAATAAGAAAATCAAACGTGTCTCTAACTTTTTCACTAATTTCTACAAAATTTGACATAATCTCAATGGAATAGAACGGAGGAGGAATAAGGAAAAATTATAAGTTGTTAAAACTTCATCTATTGTTTAAAAATATTTATAAAACTAAGTTTCTGAACAATTTTGTAAAAAAAAGTATGGAAATGGAAAACACGCTTTTTATATAGGAAAGTATTGCTGCTTTTTTAATTGATTTCAACAAACAAGGAAAGCAAATATTAATTTATAACAAATAAGTCTACAGTGAAAATTAATTAAAATAGAAAAAATATAATTTTTTATTTTTAAACATACTTTACTTTTTGTTTAACTAATTTATTTACACTTATAAAAAAATTATTTAAAACGATTTATTAACTAAATAAATTAAAAAATATTTATAATAGATTTAATATTATTCTTGACGTAGAATATGTAGCTCCTCTGGCAGGGCATAAAGACGTAGTTGCTTCTCGATAATTAAATCTTGCAGATGTGACAATTGTTGCGGTACATAAGTTCCACCATCTAAATATAATACTTTGCTCCAAGGACAATTATCCAACGAAGTTAACAAACATTCCTTTAGCTTTTCGAAGTCAGTATATTCATCGGACAAACAACGCAGATACAGCCGCCAAAATAGTGAGTTGCTCAGCAGTGCTTTACAGGTATCCTTTCCAGTAGTTTTACTCGAACTGTCGACTAACATCTTGAAAATGTTCACTATACGATTTTGGATTAATGATTTAGCGTATTTCTCATCAATTATTCGTATTGTTTCATCGGAGTACATGAATTCTGTGCTTTGGAAGTCTTGCATTAAAAATTTACAATGGAACTTTGCGATGGTGAAAATAATACCATACACATTCGTTACGTCTTGGATCAAAACTAATGACGTGCACCAAGACGTTTTCTCCACACCCCATCGCAGTTTTAACCACATGTTGCTTGGAAATTGCTCAAGACCCAAACTTATCTTTTTATTCAGAGCGTTGTTGCAATTCAGGCTATTGGCATCGCCCAGTTTTGTGAGCACAATACTCACTTGAAGGATTTGCTCACGTAGAAAAATATGTCTATCCGAACTGTCACAAAACAAGTTAGTCAGAGAATCAATGAAGGACAAGGCGCCAGGTTTGTCGCACATCAACCACTGCAACAATGCATGCATTTTAATTAAGGACACCACGTGGTCTGGCAGTAGATATTGTTCCAGAACCATTATTTTTACATTTTGCTCAACCTTGATGAGGATTTCCAGTTTTTCGCGTATATTTTTCAACGCCGCCAGTTTTTTTGCATCGCTAATCGTATCTTTGGTCGTTGTGTCCACATTTGCCCCAAAGGCGCATAGCACTTTAATTGCTTCTTGTAGCATTTTCCTTTGGATTAAAATTTCGGCATAAGTTGCATATAAATGGCACAAGTCGGAGGAGAAAATTTCGTTTTCATTATTTGCGGCTATATTTTCAAAAATACTTTTCACTTTGCTTAAATCATCCGAATCTTTTAATGCCTCAAATTCGTATATTCCAAGTTCGGTGTACAAATTGATGACGTTGCGGTTTTGTGGCAGCTTGAGTAAACTTTTAAATTTGGAACGTCCAGCCTTCACATATTCCGCAGTCAATTTTTTGCTAACTTTCTGTATGAGGAGCAGAACGCGCTCAAAGCGGCAATACAGCATCAACAAGGCAATGCGCTTTCGCTCATCTTTACCATCGTAAAACGCAGCGCAATTCTTTAGAAGATCGGTTATGGAGCGTATGTATATTTCATGCCCAATGCTTGTGCACACGAACGTCGGATTAACAGCCATTTCCTTAACCAATTCATACAAACTGTTTAAAAACATTTCGTCGTGCTTTAAAACAAAATTTCCACCACGTAAAAATGTGATGAACACATCTTCAATAGCGTCAGATCCACTTGCATACGATGTATGCAGGCTCAGTCGTTTTGCAAGTGAATCGGTTTCGATGAATGGCAATTTAAGTAAACGAAATATTAATAACATCAGCTTAAATGATTCTTCAGGTGATTTCAGTGGATATGCATAGTGGCAAATATCTTCATTTAGTACAATGCGTTCGGGATCGGAACACTTCACATTGGTCGTGTAGGGTAAAAAATTGAAGCCCTGCCGAAGCTTCTCGATACGCAGCCAAATTTCATTCATAGGCAACCCAGATCCTAATATCATTTCTTCATACTCAATAAGTGTGTGATGATCAGCGTCAAGTGGCGCAAGCCCACTTAGTCCGTCTATTGAAATATTTAGTTCTAGCGAAAGTTTTATCAAGGCAAATAATTGCTCAAAATGACCTGCTTGGCGTAGAAAAAGTGCACAATTGTAGAACAGTGCAAGCATAATATCATCCGACACCACCACTTCATTTGACGATGCCTTCAAATTCGCATGGTGCATTCTAGACATAGCCGTTCTGTAAAGTTTCAACACATCAGGCACATTACACTTTGCCATTGACGTTTGTGTACAGAGGATTTGAGCTAACCATAAAGTGTAATTGGTTGAATCCTTAGCTATTAGGCTATCCAACCTGGCAGAGACTTCATACGAAGGAAACGAATCAGAAATTGCATTGACAAAGGCACTGTATAGAATATTGTTTCGCGGTAAATACACAAGCGCTCGCTTTATAATGTCCACTCTCTTTTCTGCAATTGCGAGCCGCGTCATCTTATACGGATTTCTGTCTTGAAGTTCAATCAATTCCAACCAGTGTTGGATTTCACCAGGAGCTGTAATAGTCGCACGATTAAGCTCTGCTAACCGCGTAGTATATTCGTCTTCATTGAGTTGCAGATTTGGCACTATCTTAGCAGAAAGTAGTTTATTTTGAAAGTAACGCAATTTTTTTGAATTCTTTTGTTTAAATTTTTTAGATATTGTGTGCTTTTTAATATTTACAATGGATGGAGTTTTGTCAATGTAATAGTTTTCAGCACCTGTAAATTCATAAACTGGCGTATTTTTTTTCGTTCTTACACTTTTTGATGATTTGTAAAATTCATTTTCATCTTCCATGAGTTCATGTTTATTAGCATCGGAACTGCTGCTCGTGCTGGATGAAGAATCTGCCTTTTCCGCATCAAAGATTTTATTTACTTCATCCTGGACATTAAAGCTTTCATTTTCCAACCAGTTTGGATTCGAAACAGATTGACTCAAATCTTCATTATTTTCTTTTTCATTTTTTTCGCAATATGCTGGAAAAATTGACATTTCAGAAAAATGTTTAATTGTATTTAAACAAAAACAAAATGTATATAAACAAGGTATGTTCAGTAAATGTCAATTTAGTTTACAGCTGATTACAGAGTACTAAAATTCGCAAAAATATTATTATATGTTTACACTTTCAAACATGGTTGCTTGCATAATTTAAACACCAAAATGGATACTCTGTCAAGCGTTGTGTAGTAAAATTCATCACTTAACATACAACATACGACTCAAAACAACGAATTTTAATATAATTAATTATATATCAGATTTTGTTACAGGATATGTGATAAATGGAATTTAATTGTTATTATAGTAAAATAATAGTTGTATATAAAACTTAGTGTTGTGTTTAAATGTTGCTTTGTTTGTATTCGATAAGATAGCTTCATTGTGAAAAATTACTATAACTAACATTAGACTAATGTTTAAGCTAAACTAAGACTTTTTAAACATTGTCTAGCTCTATTTTCAGTAAAACCATGGGACGGATGTTTTTATAAAAAGCCGTGATTAAGTTAAAACTCTTGCTAACACTTTACCATAGAAACAATAAAAAATTGCAAATATAATTAACATTTATATAATTAAACATATCAAAACATTTTTCAATATAAAATATATATTTTATATTATGAACTCCTTACTTTCAATTTCCGATACAAGGTCGTTAACTTGGTGAGCCAGAAATCCTTAATAACAAACTCAGAGATTGGAATGATGTTTTTATAAGTGACTTTTTTTCTTTCTAGATGTTCAAGTTGTATTTTTCTATTGCAATTAACTGCGCGTTATCACCTAAGATTTATTGGTATAACTGCAAGTGTCAATTTCATGCCAAATCGACACTTAAGTGTGTATTACGATGCTTGCCGTACGTCAATTGAAAATATTTTTGTATTTGAAATTTTTAGTTGCTGGCAATACTGGATTGTATGCAAACGTTGTCGGCTCATGTGTCACGACATGTTATCTCGCTTTTTTGTATGATAATTCACGAGTATGTTATTTCTTTCCAACGCACTGTTGCTTCTAAATGATTCCTACATTTCCATTTTAGTTTCTTCCAGGAGTCGTCAGCGGTTGTAACATCGCAGCGGAAAGTTCGGAGGTGTACTAGTGTTTTTTTTTAGTGAACATTAAAATACAACTAAACTTATTTGTGCATTGCATTCACAAATAGTTTTATCGAAATATTATCAAGATGTCTGAAGCCGAGAATCAAGAAACTAATGGAATCAGCAACGGCGATGTGCCAGAAATAGAGTTGATTATAAAGGTGAGCGCTTATCGACATATTTTTCTTTCATAATCACGGGAATGTTGTTTGTTGTAATTTTTGAATATGTAAGTGCTTGTAATTTTATTTAACATATTCTATTGAATTAAAAAATCATTGCATTTTGCATTTGGCATTTTATGTCCTGAAAAAACCGCATTCCAGTGCGCAAAAGGCAATACGCTGGAAAAAGACTTCAAAGATGTATTTTGTTGCCCACTTAATTGAAATTCATTTTTGCATTTGTTTCAATTTTCTTTTGCGTATTGTTCGTTGATCGTGTTTTAACGAAATTTATATTCGTCTGCATCTTTTGGTTTGATTCTTAACTAAAAAAACTGGTTTCACTGTGCGCCTTTTAAATGTTCTTTTTTTTTTGTGTAAGCATTTGGCTTACCCCTCAATCACTCACCACAGTTTCTGCGTTTCTAACAAGTGTTTTTGTTATTTTGCAGCTGTATTAGGTGGGTGTAGGGTGTAGAAACGCCAAACGCCACACTTATCGAAAAGACTCATCCACCCTATTCCTTTTCGGTTTCAATTCCTATTTGAATGTTTTTTTTTTTACAGATGTTGCTTCGCTCTTCGCGGTTTCTTGTTCTTCTTCTGTAGTTTTTGTTAGTTCGTCAAATTTCTTTCTTGGTACGTCATTCCAAATATGAAAACGGTTTTGTTTGTTTTTACAAAAACATACAAAGCGTAAAAAACATACAAAAAAAAAAAAAATCTGTTGACTTAGATGAGTAATAATTCCGTCTTCTGTGCCGTTGACGATAAAAAATCCATAAAATTGATGTTTTCTCAAACAATGTGGCGTGGTGTGGTGTGGTGTGGTGTGGTTCGATTTATTTGTGTAAAAAGTTTTATTTTTCAAATCTGTTTTAAACTTGAAATACTTTTAGGTATTAAAACAGCTTTGTGTTATTTGTATTATCTATAAATTACTACCGTTAATATTACTAAACTAATTATTAGGCCGAAGACTCCATCATACTTTAATCATACTATCATACTGATATGAGACATATGTACACATCTCTGAGGTACGGTAGTTGTAGTTCTCCCAGTTTCTGTAATAGATATCTTAGGAGTATAATGGGTGGCTTGTGAATATTTTGTTTATTTATATCTAAACAGGTTCTTCGATTTATATACTAACTTCTTTGATTAATTTACCTTTTAATAAGCTAATGTAATATATTTGGGATCAAAATATAAACCTAGTTGAATAATACTGAGAGTGTGAAGGTTGTAGTGGGTTATAAATCAATAAATAAAATGAGAGGGGCAGCACTTACTAAGGTGCCCCTTAAGCGAGACTTATGAAGAGATGATCTATAAAAATATTTTGTTATTTTAATTCCATCTTTTTAGTGAAGTTATTCAGCACTTTTTTATTCTCTTTACTTTTCTCCACCATTTTCGATAGTGTTATTAAGAAAAAAGAGGAAATCTATACCTGAATCTCACAGGATCATTCTAAAGACTTTCAACCTTAAACGATTTAAAGACAGTATTTAACTAACTATAAGAAACCAATATAAAATTTATTATAGTATTTTTGCAATTTCCTAGATCGCCGTGGAAAATATCTTAATAATAATTGATGCCGTTAGCTGTCAGTTCTTTAGCTATTTCATTTTTATGGTGCTGTTAGCTGACGTTTCTTGCGCAGTTAGGTGGCACTCATTTGACACTGTTAACTGGCACTTTGGAGTGTTATTGTTTGGCATTTTAGTGTTATTAGTTGACACTTTTTATTGCTTTTAGTTTGGAATTTTTAAGGCTATTGTCACTTTTTCGCTTTTCTTGGTGTTGTTAGCTGTGTTATTTTTTTAGTTTTTTTGACTGACTACATTAGATTGTAGTTTTTTTTAATGAATATTTTTCTATACTAACTTCATCACTGTCTGTATGCGTAAGAATTCGCATACAAGGTGATATTTTCAAGACCAAAGAATTAATGTCTTCAATAAATACTGAGTTTTTCACTAAGGCAAATTCTCGGATTCAAACATCATTTTTCAAATTGATACTTAAACAGGTAATATTTATATACATTCGCAGTGGAGAAGCTGTTGTATGACTTCAATTTAACCGTAAACTGTGAGTGGTAATATATTGATAATTTTTCATGCTTTAAACATATTCCTCCACATATTGCGAGGTCTCGAAATCTTGGAATAAAAGTCTACGTCTTGAAACCACCAATCAAGGAGAATTGGGTCCCACCGAATATTTCCATGAAAAAATAAACAAGCAGATTTCCCTAAGGAACCATGTGGGTTATAGGCACATATATCTGTGTCTTATTTTCAAATAGTACATTATATACATTATTTGTTTTATTGAACTTCCTTCCTTATATCGAAAAGTATTTATCAAATTCGAGTTCATGCAAACAAAGTTGCTGTGAATAAATCAAATGCAATCCAAAACAAAAAGTGGTTAAGAAAATGGGAAAGTGAAAGTTTGATTTTCCTAATACTTGCCATGCTGCATTCAGCTCAGCGGTGAATAAACCAAACAAAACGTTCGATTTATTCAACATAACAAGTTTTTGGTGCGTCTTATTTTTTTTTGGATGAATTTTTTTTCTATTTGTATCTTGTATCTTATAACAATCCAATCGTTGATTTTGGTTTGCGGTGGAATCGGTGAGTGTTCACACTATGGATTTTGTTGTTGTACCAAACAGGGTTGCCTGCTCTGTAGCTGCGTGCGACTATTTTAATCCTGGTATCTGGTATTAAGGAAAAGAAAAGCCCACGGATGTGATTGGGGGCACGTGGGGAAAGCGGAGCTGCTGCGTTAGGCGTGGGCGTGGGCGTTAGAGAAACTATTGCCTAACATTGTGGCATGCGAAAGTCAAAACTGAGACGATAGATAAAGAAGAACATTTTTCAAGATATTTTTTTACTCGACGATATCACATAAATTCAGTTTTTCTTTACTTAATACAAATTGTAAATAAATTAAAAAATTTTTGCCGCATTCTCTGCCAATGATTACGTTTTTATTATTTTATGTCATTTGTTTTTATTTATTTATTTTTTTTTTTGGTTTTTTTTTTAAAGTTTCCTTGGCATTTTTTAAAAACATAAAGTACGATATCACGTTCTAAAACTGTTTGCTTCATAATTAAATAACTTTTTTGATAGCAGCTCGACAACAATTTCCAAACGTGACCTAAGTTCGGTTACTTGCGAACGCAACACAAAATACCAAAGTTCAGATATAAAAGCATAAATGAGATTAAATACTTGTGAGATTAAATATTTTTAAATAGAAAATTCGTATTCAAAATTTATGAAAAAGATTGAAGTCAGGTGGAATGTTTCGCGTTAATTGTTAAACTCTCAGTGAGTTTGGGCTTAACCATATGACAATTTCTTTTTATTGAGTGAGTTGTCCATCCAAAGTCTGGTAGGCTACTTTGCTCTTTGATCCACAATATTTAGCCATTTGCTTCAAGTTGGACATTAGCTAAGATATGAGCATAACAGCTTATATCTATTATGTTGAAGTGATCCATTGAAGATACTTCTCTCGTTATAAACGGGTTGATTATTATATATTTTCCTTGATTACTCCTCTTTAGGGTGCATAAGGATAACATGAGAGCAGGAAGTAAGTTTGATGGGCAGAACTTCATATAATATAAAAGAGAATTTAAATGAAATATATTAAAGCATTCCTGGGTATATGTATTCCGAAAAGCAATTAAAATTGTAACCAATTTTCGTGGAAAGCCAACATTAAAATTACAAAATCGATTTATATATATTGAACCAATTTGCTAGCTAATTTATTATTTTGTTCTTAATATGTCTCCATGTTGTTGTTCTAGTAACCCTAACCCGCTGGGACCTGCTTGTGTAGTCCCTTCGGACTGTTTTTGAGATGCTGTTATAAGTGTGAATATATATAAACAGCAAATAGATTTTGAATGAGCGAATATTTTTAAAAAGATACATAAGAATTTCTATTCAAAACTCTTTCTTTAAGATCACAATTACTTTCTTATTACCATTGTCTTATTATCGAATCGAATAGAATTCGATTATTTGGAAATATTTCTAATCATATTGGATAACACGAACTAAGATTACAGTTCCATATAATTAACACTATAAGCTAGAATAGCAGCTAACTATTATTTTAACTAAGAAGGAAATATTCAAATGTGGTTATCGATATATATAAAATTTTAGAAATTATTCGCGTACGTGCTTTATTTAACGTACCTTGACATACGTTGATTAGCTCCAATAATTTGATCAATTAATGAACTTGGTCAACCTAAACTCACAAAGAAATCAAGTCATGGTTATCTTGAGTGACCCTAATTCATGGTTAACAAATATGCATATACCATATATAATACTTGTGCATTATAGAATCTCTAAACCATGCTTCATATATATCTTATGATAATGATCTTATTATTCATAATAAACATCTAATTGTAATAAAGTGCTTGATATCTTCAATTCAATCATTGTGATTGTGATTTAAAAATTATAGTAGCTCACAACCGACAATAACAACGGGCGTAGCTCATATTCTTATATATACGTTGAATGTTTTGAAACCCGCATACACGCAGATGAGTCCCATTATTTCTGTAAATTAGTAATGCTGAAAGATTTAATAGTTGCTGTTCTTCTTTTGGACTTCTCTTAGACTAGATTGAGAACATTTGCAGACTGTGATTTGCTTAAGTTTAGTATATTTCTTATAATTGTAAAGTCTTCTATTCAGAAAAGCATGTCCATACCATTGTCGTCTTGCTGCTTACATTTGATCCAATTCGTCGTATACAAGTGCTTTGGAACTAGTTTGGAACCAAGCTTTGGAACCAAGTAATGGGCATGAAGAGCTTAAATTTCATCTGATCGGTTACACTCTGTCGCAAATATAATTTGAGCATGTTAAGGACTCATCTTAAAGTAAACATTTTGGGCAATTGATTTATTTTTTTCGATAGGATAGTCAAATGTGTCTTGAATGCTGTTCATTGTCTTTTGCATATTTGTTGAGACGAATATTTCTGGAACTAGAAGGCTTGACATAGTTTTCTTCTTCAGTTTGAATTCACTTTATGTTTGCATATCTGAAACCATTCAACCATTGTTTACCAAATACTGGAAGTAGAGTATTCAGAACTATTAACCAAATTTGAATTTATTTTATTATTTTTTCAGTTTTATCTTATCAATTTTTTGTTTCATACGTGCAGTCAGTATTATTTATTTTTTTTTTTTTTAAATATAAATTTAAACGCACAATTTCCACACAATTCCGAATAGGAACCTCATATATATTTCCGAAGAATTTGATGTCATTTATTCAATTTTGAATTTTGTTTATTTCGCGCGCCCTCCTTTGATAGCGGCTTCCTATGTACTGTTTTATTACTTGTATTTCAAAGTATCTGACACATTTTGCACACATCAATTAATTTTTAGGGATGATGTAATGATGAATTGCTCACATGCCCGTATAGACTTTCGAGACTAGACGGCAACGCACTCATTCGTTATGTGACCTTTTCAAAATAGTAATAGAATGAGTACGTAATGTCATTTTGAGAGTCTCATTTTTCAAGCCATGATTACAATTACAAATAATTCATTATTTGTATTTAACTTTTAAGGCATTTAAACATTAAAGTTTAAAGTTTAGCTGCCACAATAGCATTTGCCATAAATAAATTATAAATAAATCACCTGCATATATCTATGCTTAGTAATGAAGTAGTTAATATTGGAATCACGTAGCGTTAAAAATGCACAATGGCGAAATAAATGCCGGCGATTCTGAAAAGACAATTTTAAAAACCTTAGATTTGTTTCCATTGTTGCAACCTTAAGACGGGAAAATATTTGGATATAATTCTATTAGTTTAATTCTAAAATTTGGATCATGACAGTGTAATAGTTTTTAAAATAGTTATTTAGTACTTAACGATAATTGTAAATAAAAATTGATTGTTTTTTATATGAGGACTCATCATAATTATAATAAGTTACAACAGATCTAGTTAGACATTAATCGTTTCAAGAAGTCGTTTTCATTATCTTCATTATCTGTTATATCATCTATCCATCATGTTTGCGGTCTTTCTTAACTTCATGTTCACAAGGGACGTTTTAGTATTTTTTGGAGAGTAATGCCTTCATCGTTTCTGCGTATAAGTTCTATCTATTTTTCAATGCCTGATAATATAATTAATAATAATAGATTACTTTTTATGAGTAGTTCTGGGATATATAATAGATTAAGTAACTTTTCTACTAAAATTATAATTTCTGCTCTCTCTAACATTGTTGCTGTAGTCCAGATAAGTTCTCTCATTCTTGGAAAAGTGTAAATGATTCGTTTTTCTTGTTGACTATGATACTCTCCCGAGAGCATTATGAAGGACATTTAATTGGTTGTCGATGTCGAGTGACTTGACTTAAACCATAACTTTTTCTCTCTATTAAACCATAACTTTTTCTTACTAAATACTATCTTCAGCTGATAGATTTTATAGCTTTAAAAATCAAACTTTTTTCTTACAAGTAATAACTACAGTTTTCTTCTTGAGGCGCTAAAAATACAAGTTTACTTTATAAAATTTTTATTTGCAGTTTTAATTTAAAAATTACTTATTAGTTTGGCATTCAATTTGTGCTTATCAATAACAAGTAACGGAGAAACAGAGAAACGCGTAGATGACATCATCTGCCATAATCAAAAATACTTACACAATATGAAATAAATAATATATATATATATATAAATACAATATATACATAAAAAATATACTTCTAAGATAGAAATGTACTTAAGCTACGCGTTCATATCTTTAACTTCATTCCTTTTATGGCAATTTTTAAACTTTTCCGATTCATCGATAAACAAAGTCAGTCAAGTCAAGAGAGCTTCTTTCTGGAACTATGAGTTTGGTGTCTTTTTTTCAAATTTTTACCTATGCACAAAATGTGTTACTTGGCTTGAAATCTACACTCATTTAGCATATCGCAAAATTGATAGATTAAATATCTTGTACTTCTTCAGTCAGTGTATGTTGATTGAGCCGTCACGCGACCCCTCGATGATGTCACATGATTTAATTATAATTTGCAAGCAATTGAGTTTTTTTATTTAGAAAATCGTTTACGATATCACACAATTATCAACAGTGCAAGTGGTTGCAGTGTAAGACCAAAAATAATTGGTGTGTCGGAAATCATACTTAAAATGGGTATTGTAGATGTGCTAATTCATTCACAGATACATTCATTATCACTGTGATAGTTGAACAAAACAACAATTTTGACGTACTTGAAAGATTGTGTTGCGTTTTATTCATATGTTTACACTAGTCATACATACATACAATTTGTGGATAATATATCAAGTTTTTTAATAAGCTGGTAACGTAGTGAAGGAGATGTTAGATTGCAGATACCACTGCTAACCCGTCTTATAAGAAACTTGTAGTATTTAAGTCATAACCTCGTTTTAAGGTTTAAACCTACCTAAGGTTTTAAGAAATTTTAGTTAAATAACTCTACAGATGGTATCGGATAAACCATTGAGATAGCGAGACCATAGAGTCGTAGGTATACACTTTTAGGCAGTAGTGAAAGTTACGTTGAAGCCATTAAAAATTACGTTAATTGTATTCATTACAAAACCCAACATTTGTACAGTGAATCAATAACAAATAGTTATAGTGGCAGATGAAAATGGCATTGTGGGAGGAGTAAGTAGTACGTAGTCGTCTGAAAAAACGGATGAGTCTGTCCAATTCTAGAACCGGAACCTTTGTTATTTTATGTTGTTATTGCTTATGAGATGTCGTACCTACACATACTAAACTATATGCAAAGATAAGATTCAGCCAAGGTTAGGTTAGGTTATGTTGGAGTGGTGTCCTTGTACACCAATCTGACTGCACCCTCCATCATGATCAGCTATAAAATTCAATTAATAAAATATGAAACGTTGTTATATTTTATTACTCTTTGAACGTTTTTATTTAAAAGATATAAATAATATTTTTGAATGTAGTTTTATATTTTTATTTGTTTACAAAATTGTTGCATTGTTTCTGTAAGTCCCCTTTTTTAACTATTAAGTCCCCCTAATGTTATCCTTTCGTATCCTCTGCACTATTCCAGGCTGAAATTTACAATGCACATGAACCATTCAAAGAAGATTTGAATCTATCAGATATGGAAGAATTTGAGGATTTGAAACCAGCCCAGCTACAACCCGAAGAATATACTTTACCAAATGTACAACAAAGTTTAAATGATTTAGTAAATGAAGCTGTGGGGTACGATACCGACTGCGCTTTAAATATACTCAGCAAATCTGATATAAAGTTGGAAAATAATGATAAGACTGATTTAACCCTTTCTGGGGTAGTAAAAGAAGATCGAAATTGCGGGATTGAATTTGCACAACAGGATATGGAAAAACCAACATGTTCGCAAAGAGATTCTATTAATAATGCATTGTTGACTAAACAAATGAATTTGTACAAATTAGTGGAAGAAGCTTGTGACGATAATTTCGAAGATATCGAAAATGATTTAGACTTGAATTTGTCAATGCCAGTTGAAGAAATGGAAACTATAGATTCAACTGCACATTGCTCTAATAAAAGAGGCAAAACGGCACGAAAATTTAAAGCTGAGGACTTGGAACGTGCAGAGCATGCTGTTTTAGAGGAAGGTATGAGCTTAGGACAAGCGTCTAAAAAGTTCAATGTTGCAAAGTCTACAATTTGGGTACGAGTTTCGAGGAATCCAAAGCATCGAGCTCGCACGCATGATGGAAAATTATGCAGAAGAATATACAGAAAATTAAAGGCTGGCATATCAATAGCGGAAATTTCTCGCGTACTGCATGTAGCCAAGTCTACTGTGCATCAGCATAAAATGCGTCTCTTTAAGAATGACATGTTACCATCTTCAGTAATGAATACCAGCCAAGGTTCGACTGGCAAATATGCAGTTGGAGGTAGCCATCATGATGTCATGGAGAAAGCATACCGCGCACATCGCGTAAATGGTCTATCGGTTAGATTCGCTGCCCAAATGTATTCTCTACCTTTAACGACATTGTGGCGTTACATCAAGCAAGCAGAAGCAGCAAAACATCAACCAGAAAATAATAAAGCGGCCGACACAGGTGGCGAAAAGGTTACAGAAAATCTGCAGTCTGAGAATATTAATTGTGAATTAAATAATGTAGTTGAAACTGGTGATGATGTGGAAAATGGAGAAAATGTTAATCCTCAATTATCGATGAAACTAGATCCAGATGAACAAGAGTTTTTAGAACAAGCGTTGCTTGACACACTGTTCGACTTTAGTTAAAATTATTATTGAATTATGTTATAATTTTGATCTATAATTTTAAAAGGCTAATTATTTGCTTATAAATTATTGATGTGTTGATTAAAGATTCAAATGATTTTAGTGAAACTCAGACAATAAATGGAGAAATATAAGATTTACATTTGTTGTTTTATTGCATTTGACATTTGTACTTGGCAATATTTGAAGAAACGCTCGATATTAAGAGACCAATGACCGCACTCTATTTTGACAAATAATATTTAAGATTTATATTTCAGGCATCCACTATTGACGGTCGTCGTAAGGGAGCATGTTTATTTTGCCAGGAATATTTTATGGATTTGTACCTATTGGCTGAATTGAAGACAATTAGTCTTAAGGTAAGTAAATAGCTCAAATAATCGTAATATAAATATTAAATGAGACATTCCACTATATCTTGACAGGTAACTACAGTTGATATGCAGAAACCGCCACCAGATTTTCGCACCAACTTTGAGGCAACACATCCTCCAATATTGATCGATAATGGCTTGGCAATTCTTGAGAATGATAAAATTGAACGGCACATCATGAAGAATATTCCCGGTGGATATAATCTTTTTGTACAGGTAACATATATATGTAAACGTTATTACACATATTACAATAATATATAGTAATATTGGTGTATATTGACAACATACGATTGTTATATCCACTGCTTCACTGGTGGGTGATTTTAAGCAACGGGTTTGCAAACCTAAATTTAAAATCCTGAGAATAGTACTCACCGTACACACAATTAGTTCATTATATATCGGGTGCCAGGTAACTGTTCTGAGGTGTCACGTAGAGAGGCTGTGTGACAATTTGGATTGTCAAGAAAGCAAGGATTGCGCTGGCATTTATCAAGTTAAATTGCGATCAGATATGTTTCCTTCGTATTCGGTTTGAGCGGTTAGCGACTTCTGTCCTCTGTAGGACAGAGTTGATGTTATTGACAAATTATCTTACGAGACACATTGCGTTAAATGAAATGAAATTTCAAGTTACATTCTCTGACTGTATTTGGTCAAAGCCAAGTAGAGAACACTGGGTCAATAATTCTTTTTTTGGTTTGTCATTAAGAACTCGTGAGTGAATGAAATTATCATCCTTATTCGGAAAGTTGAATATCACAAAAGATCTACAATGATCACCCAGTCGTATTTTATTTTTTTATTCAAAGTTTTAATGTTAAATTTTGTGCTTCATTGTTCATTTGAATAATTTCTTTATTAGGACAACTCTTTATTTATGAAAGAAATCTACTTAATGTAGCACTAAGTCTAGTTGACTAACTAACTTAGACTCGATGGGGATCCATTCTGATAAAGAAACTTACTTAAAGCGTAATTTTTACACTATTTATGTTGTTCTTATTTATTAGGATAAGGAAGTGGCTACACTTATTGAAAATTTGTATGTCAAACTTAAGCTGATGTTGGTAAAAAAAGACGAGTCCAAAAACAATGCACTTTTGTCGCACTTGAGAAAGATCAATGATCATTTGGCAAATCGTAATACTCGCTTCCTAACTGGAGACACAATGTGCTGCTTCGATTGTGAATTAATGCCTCGATTACAGCATATTCGCGTTGCTGGCAAATACTTCGTCGATTTTGAGATTCCGGTAAATTCATTATCTCATTATTTTATTTTCTGTTAATTAATTATATTTCATAATAATTAGACAAACCTAACCGCTTTGTGGCGTTATATGTACCACATGTATCAATTGGATGCCTTTACACAATCATGTCCTGCTGACCAAGACATAATCAACCATTACAAGCTGCAACAGGTGAGATTTATCTACTCAAAGATAAATCGGAACTCATTTGGATATATATTTAACGTTTTTGTATTTTTAGATGCTAAAAATGAAGAAACATGAAGAACTTGAAACGCCGACATTTACCACATCCATTCCAATCGACATTTCAGAGTAATGCATTGACGTAGTGGTGAAGTTTAAGAATTTTTTATAAAAATAATTCTTAAGCAGTTAAATTTGTAAAGCAACATTACATTGCTTTTCGTTTCAAATTATATTTTCAAATGCTTTGACATAACTAACCAAGGAAGCTTCATGAATGAACTTGAAATAGCTTAAAATAGAATCTGTCCCAATTGTCTTTACAAATAAATATTCCTTCATTACTTAAGTAACTAATTTACAACAAACTATTGTATCAAGAAGCTAACATATTATATCCTTGGATAAATTTTTTTTTCTATTTTAATGCAAATATGTGCTTTATAATGCGGTTTTTTTTATTAAGTAAATTATTAGAACAGAACCTGTTGCCAATTAAAATATTCAATTCGTGAATTTAAAATTTTTTATGCTAAAGTATGAAATTAGTATTTGCTTTTTAAATGTATTACATTTAAGAGCATAAATAATTAATTGTAAAATCTAAAATCAAATGATAGGTTTACATGATATCTTTGTATCAATTATTTTCAGTTGAAGCTTTACAAAAGCGAGATTCTAAATAATTACTAACAATAATCGTTTACAATATTATTATTTTATTTTTTTAATTTACATATTAATACTTAAAATTAGAATATATACTATTTTGTATATACAGCTTATATAATAATAAAATATTTCATATATTTGATACAACACAAATGTGATTATTGTGTTTTTAACATCGAAAGCGAAAATTGCAATTGTTTATTAAAAACCTATTTGTGATATTAAATTCTAAAAACCACAAAAAAGTGAAATTACTCCAAAAGTTTACTCCTAATTTATATCATTTGATCTGAGCGATAAGTGTATATGACAAATGTTGATGATCAATATGCTTCGCTAATAATGCTTAGAGTCTTTATGGTACGTGCAGATACAAAATACTATATCAAATGGTCTGCATTCAAAATGCTAAATCTTGTGTTAAGGTAAGTGTTAGTTGCGGTATACTGTTCTGATGCACTGGATATCGTTTTCCACGATATTTTATTCTATCAAAAACAAAAAAAAAAGCTTATATACTTGTGGATATTACGACCTTTAATGTTATGCGTATAAGATACCACGACAGAACTTTTCACACTACCATTATATAAATAACGAATAAGTTATTACCATTCTAATATTGGAATTATAAGTAGCGCGTACACAAGAGACTGATCTAACTCACACTGATATATTACTAATGTTTAGTGGCCGTAGAAGAAAAAATCCATACATGTAGAAGGAAAGTGAAATATTAAGGAATTGATTTATTGCACACGAATTAGAGATGGTCTCTCCCATATAGATTCCCACGAACTATTACAACCACAACATGGCAGAAAAGATTTTGCAGACTGAAGCAATCATCTTTTTTAGAGAGATAATGATATAAAGATATCATTATCATATAGATGTAGGGATATTCAGAGTAAGGATATATAGCAGTAATAGTATGGTCTCGTCCAGACCATTGTTTATTATATTATGGGCAAAAATAAATATCTTATAGTCTGGTCTGAAAGTTACTGATGATTGTGCCATTTAAATCAATACCTGTGGCACGCTTTGAAAAGTTTTAGTGTTCTATGATAATACGGAAGGAATTGAAACAAACAATTTGATGATGCATAAAAGCCGTTGGGGAGATGACAGTTTAACATATGTGCGTATCATCTCAATTCATTTTTACTTGTAAACTAGCAGTACAAAAGTTTATTGTAATTAATTGTTAGCGTTATAATAATATTTACACAAAAACAAAGAAAAAATGTAAATGTTTTTTTAAAAACACATTAAAAAGGGTGAAAATAACCACTGAGCAATTTCTACGACCATTACGACTTCGCTTGTTTGACATCACAAGGGCGTAAGTAATATATGTACTTATTGGTCTTTGGAAAATCGGATAATATTATTTAAAAAAATTATTAGCCTCAAACAACTTTAGAAATGCCAGGCAGACTATACTGACGATTCTTAAATATACAATTCATCAAACAACAGTGCTTTTATGCTTTCTTTTGTTTATATGGTCTTTAAAAATATATGAAATTTATTTCAAATAAAAAAAAATTTACTACAACCGTTTTTAAATATAAAATAAATTTAACTAATAAAGTTAAATATACACACAAACATGTACAAAAAATAAATTTAAATTTAAGCTGAGTATGTAAACCTTTAAAAATGTTAGATACAAATTCCCTGAGTTAACAATTAACAATCAATTAATAACCAATACACCAGTCAGTTTGATGCTGGTTTGTATGGTCTTATAAATTTAACACGACCTTTAAGTTGATTCAGTTCTCTCGGTAGCAAACAATTCATGAAGCTATTAGTTATGAATCCCGTAACACCCCAAATTTTTTTACGGCCAATAACAAATGTGGGGGAACTGAATCCCGATTTAAACTGGGTATACTGGAGAGTACTCGGTTTCGCCAATTCGGAAACTGGCACAGTAAAAGCTTCTTCAACTTCGTGCTCATTAAGTTTCAGTTCGTTCAAATCAAAATTTCGGCACACGCCAACAACAGGCATAATAGCTGCAGTGTGCGGTGGCGTAATAAGTGAAGTGGGCCCCCATATTTGTATGCGTGAGCGATCTAAACCAATCTCTTCCATGGTTTCCCGTAATGCGCAATCGACGAAATCAACATCTGTATCATCTCTTATGCCACCTATTTCATAACAAAACGTATATAAGTTAAATGCTTTTATTAAAATAAATACCGGGAAAGCAAATTTGGCGCACATGACGATTGAGGTGGCCAGACCTTCTAGTGTAAAGCAATGAAACCTCCTCGTTTTGCTCGTCGTTTGCTTTTTTGGTGCAAAGTAATATTAATACTGCTGCGTACTTTCTTTCAACTTCATTATTTTTTAACTTAACACCGACGGGTGGGGATTTTGTCATACATTCCAAAACCCTTTTTTGGTAGCTGTCCGTCAGAAGCACATCAGCTGTTAAAGTTGGAGAGGTCTCAGTTTGCACAGCAATTTGTGTACTATAAAAACGATTGAGGCATGATGCAGAAGAATTGTGGGATTTAAGACGTAGAAGGTGTTTTAATAATATGTTACGCATGTCATCACTATTATTTAACAAAAGTATTTTAATATATCTCACAAAAGTATGTTTTGAAGTTTGTTCACTTCATAAGCCAAATTTCTTATTTTTTCGTTTGCATGCAATGACAACCACTAGCGACAGCAAACACAAAACTTATGTTCTTTTTTATGTAATTTATATTAATTTTAATTGGTATAAGTTCAAAATTATTTTGTAAATGGCTTATTATTTAAATATTCATATTTATGTAAGAATAATAACATAAAGGCCAGAATTTGTTTTGACATTCAACAGCAGTAAATATAAGTATACCAGTAGGAAATTTAACAAGTGATGCATAGCACAGAAACACTGGCTTTTGACAATTGTCTACGTAGGGCGTGTGCGAGTTTGAGAACATTGAGCTAAAGTAAATTGAAATTTTCTAGGGATTTTTTGCACTGCACTTATGTAAATATTTATTTATTTATTTATTGCACTTATATATTATTTTTGGTTAAAAGTTTATAAATTAATTTATTTATCTATTAAAAATTTTATTTTTCACAATGGTAACACCTTAAATACCTAATTTTTATCTAATTTATCCTACTCGAAATTCTGGTAAATACCAACAATCCCTATCATACCGACATAATTTACTATTTTCTTCAATTTACCATCAATTTACTCGAACTTGCACACGGCCATAATGTGTATTTTATTTATTATGTTTTCTATATAAATAAAATTAAATTTATTTGCATGTACATATTTGAAATAATTAAAAATTAATCAAATTAAATTAAATCTTAATAATCTCAATTATGATGAAGTTATTAGTATTAAATATTAATACAAAAACATACGGGTTCTCAGTAACGAACGTCACCTTATAATATTGAAACCACAATTAACGCGAGAAAAAACAGGAATAATGCTTTAAGTTATGATCGTAATATAAATCTATTAAAATCGTATCTAAAGGTATTTTAACTATATTTTTATAATTTAGGTATCGATACTCCAGGCAATTGCCAGACCAAAGAACTGTTTTGCCCAAACTGATTCTGACTGACTGAGGTTAATTGTGGGATACTTTACTGGATATCATAAAATAGCTCTAATCAAGTTAATAGAAAGTAGAGTCAGACCGGAAAATTGCGTGGCCCTGTTTTGTGTTACAAGCATTTCGACAAACTTAACACATGAATAAACACTCCTCTAAAGCACAGTTTTGAATTAGTTGCTTTTTTTAAATTTAAAATATATATTTTTATACATATACAAAATATATACACAAACTACTTTATTTCTAATTTATTTTTCTCATTATGAAAACGTTTTGGTAAAATTAGGTACATACTACTTCTTAATTTTAAACACTACTTTCACTATTTTTGTTGTTTGAACATTTGCTAAAGGATTCACTAAGAAACTTTGTAGTAATTTGTGGTATTCGCACATTGCTCTCTGCTGGATAAACGCAACCCTTTCGTCTTCGTCCCATTGGTGAACTGCAGCCGGATTTCTCGGCAATTTGTACTAGTAATGGAAGATCATCTGCGCGGGTAAATATAAACTCTTCAGAGGAAAGCCTCTTGCGCACTCGCCCTCCAACGACATCCTTACGAGGAGTGGACGGTTTGGTAATGTTAACAGTCGTAGTTGAACAATGATTTGAAGGAAGTAAAACATCTTTGTCATCATTGCAATGGTCATCATAGTACACCGGAAAGTGCGACTCCAACACTCCCGGTTTAATGGCAACACTTTCATTCAATATATTATAGTTTGTGCAACCATTGCTAGAAATAAAGTCTGTAACATTTCTGGCCGGCGTTAAAAATTGTTCAATTGATGAATTGGCACTGTAGTAGGTTGTGTCGACTGAGCCAGTAGTATTACTGCCCAGACTTGATACAAGCAAAGCACACTGTTCGTGTGTACTACGTCGACAACAAATATTCTTGTTCGTTGTATCGTCGTTATGGCAGGAGCAGCTTGGACAATTACTAGCACAGTCATCATTACTTAGAATTTCACTATCACTAAATGTGAGTTTCCTCGTTGGAACCTCTAGTTGTATTGTATCCTCATCTAACTGGTCAGCTGATTTAGAATTTTGTTTTTGTGGTAAGGTGTGGTTATTTATGCAACTATCACCTTTATTTGCTTCGCTTTTATCTCTAACGCGAGTAAGACTTTGTGCGGACTCGAAACTCTCTTCGCTTGAATCAAAACTTCCTTGCTGGTTCAAATTAAACAACCGCGGAAATGTTACAAACACCCGACCCATGCGTTTGTATTGATCAACTTTTTTACTATCTTCTGCACATGTCGCCAAATTTTCGGAAAATTTTGGAGCTCTACGCATTATTTTTGGCGTATGCAGCTGAGATTCAAAAATATCCTCTAACATTGTTTTGTTTCCATTTTCATTAATAGTTATATTATGCAAGTATCTCTCAATGCTGTTGGCTAAGCTAATCGGGGCACTCGTTCGAGATGATATACTAGATATTTCGGACAATGTCTCCGGACTAGCTAACGGTGCTAACCCCAACCAATCGTCTTGCACAACATCTGGATTTGGCACATCAGACGCTCTACGTAAAGACGCAATAACTGAAGATTTCGGTTTTTTTTCGTAGCGCGTGGAGAACTGTCGTTGTAAAATGCCTTTTGGAGGCATTTGTGGTGATGGTGACTTGGTTTCTACATCATGAATATTCATATCAAATGCAACAATTTTAAGGCGTTCAGGTTCATTTACAATTACAGTGGCAGTTTCACTGACAACAGAAGGACTTCTTCGCGTAACTGTAGTACTATCATCAACTACACTTGATATGTCATAGGGTGTTAAGCTTCTACCAAATAAACTGCCAGCTATTGAAGATGCTTTACTAGAGTCTGGTCCACCAAAGCTGTTCGTATACTGGTTAGCTAAATTCTGCTCAATTGGGCTTTGCAGATTAGTAAATGAGGTCTCTAAACATACCTTCCGTTGCGCTGTAGGAGTCAGAATAGCAACATTGCTCAGATTGGAACACGAGCTGTGCGCTGGTTTCTGATTGTTTATGTACTTATAATCTAAAGGAGTTGTAGTTATCACGTGTTCGGATTCAATTTCGTTGGAAGTTGTGGAAAAAGCGTTAGAAGTTTGGCGTTGAGGCTTACGTGGTCCACTCGTCGTTACAACCTATAAGATATATAGTTTTACAGAGTTTGCTGATAATAATTGAAATTATGTGAACAAATTAAAGAAATATATTAAAAATAAATTTGTAAAAGATTATATTTTATATGTACATAGGTGTTAATAGTGTCATACAAAATTTCTTAAGATTACCAAGCAGGAGGGTGAATACAATAGGAACATTTTAAATTATTAAAATAGTAAGTTATTTAGGTTAAAGGGGTTATAGAATTGAAAAACAGGGAGACAGAAGTTCAAATCGAAAATGGATAAAATTAGTTTCACATAATTCTAATTTCAGTTTCATATACATAATAAGAAACCCTAGGACACGTCTATTATAATCCCACAAACTGCCTTTCTTTAGTTGAAAACTTCGAATTTGAACAAAAAGAAACTATAATATAATATATTTATATATTTTTTTCGAGTTAACTTTAATCAAATCACAAAATAATTATTGTAATATAATAGTTAATACAGACTAATCATAATTAAAATATAATAGGATACCTAACTTGACGCGCCATTTATCTTCATATGTAATCTATTTTCTTTAATATTATTCACCACTTAAAAAATATTCACCTTTAATTGTGAAAGTGATTTAATAGATGATTATATATCCGTATTGTTTTAATAAAATTGGTTATATCCTTACTGCATTGATAGAAAGCTAGATTTCAGCAGCAGTCCATCTAATGGATCAGTTCTAAAGAGTGAAACAGTACTAAACAGTAAAAGCACAAATCAGCAACATATATGTATAGCTTAATAAATGTACTAATAAACTCCTAAGATATTACTGAACCAATAAAAAGCGTTGTCCGGTACTCTTATTAGGAAGTATAATGTAATCTTTATTAGATCTGACAATAGTACATCGCAATCTATCTATCTTACAATATTAATAGAACATCGTGATCTATAGGATATGATTATGCTAATTATTATTGAAGGTACACTGAAAGTATGGTATAATATGCTTAGAGAATTAAATGATTAGTGAAAGACTACAAATGATTTGGTAGAAAGTAAGTCTATAGCTCAACTGTTCTCAATGAAGTAGTTAAGTTTTTAAACAGGTCGCCTAACCTAACCTAATCTAAATTAATACACTGGAGAGATACAAGTATATTCTCTATTATACTCGTATTACTAGCTAAAGAAAAGACAACAAAACTAAACTGAAATATACAACAAATTTTTATCAATTTTCGATTATGGAGGAGATTGTTTAACTACTTATATATATGTAATATATATGCGAGTATAGATATTTCAAGGTAGTAAGAGTAAATAGTTATAATACAGTGTATATACACGAAAAATAATAAAGAAGAATTTGATAAAATTTGCTGCAACTGTTAAGTTGAGCAAAAGTATATTGAGTCTCAAAAAGTACCTGGTATCATTAAAAAGTGTTGCACAGTTGCTAGAGGATATTGATGAGTCTTTACGAATATGTTTGCATGCCATAAAGGAACGGTCTTTATGATTCACGACCTGCTGAGAGTTATTTGTGCAGTTAATCATATTTTCATATAACACGAACCGAGTTTCATTAACGATTATATAAATCGGTTATAAATATATTCGACAAAAAAACTAGTTTTTAAAAATGGTTATATATGTGTATCTATGTTTAAAGGGATTTGGGTTTAGAATGTATGGAAAATACAGTCCATAAAGACTTCTAGTACTTTTTTTCAAAACAATATCTGAGCCAATTAAAACTTATTTTAAATAAAAACAATGCACAAAAGCGCTAAACTATGCATATTCTGTGTGGATTATGTTATTGGATATACATCAGGTTACAAATCTTTACAAATTATTATATCAATCCATTCAAAAAAATAAAGACTTAAATGAATTATGAAGAATAAAAAAAAAATATGTTTTCTGTGCCTATTTAATTTAGATGCGTTTAAGGTTAATTTCAATTTATTAAGTAACTTTCAACCATACATTATAACATACGTGACTATACGGAGGCTAGGCTTCAGGGGCCATTACGTCTAGTTTGTAGTTTGTAATGAATTATATTAGTGCTCTTGTCATTAGAAAGCTTCAGTATAACTGATGCTTGCAAAAGACAGTATGATACCTTCTATTAATAGTTATGATGGTCTAATTTTTTACAGTTGAAATAGTTCATAATAAACCATTATGGTTCCATTAGGAAATCCCAATTTTCGATGACAAATTTTTTTCTATTTTTTTTTCTATGTATTCTTCCAGTGCAAAGCAATTATGCCCTGCATTGTCACACAAACACGTAAAATGCTTGGGTGCTTCACAATTTAAAGAGTTTGGAATAAATTTGGACACCTCAGGTATGGAGCTTCAATTATTCTTTAGATTCGGAAATAGCATCAACATCATACATGATGCCTACTACAAATCTACATAGAGGTCTTGTTCCATCTGGTATAACCAGAGACCAAGATTTCGTTTATGGCCAGCCAGATTAATCTATTATAACTTGACCGAGTCTATTGAAGACAATCCTCATTCATAACAATGCGTCGCTCACAGCGGAATCGTATAAGCTTCCGTTAAAGCGGGGAACTATTCTCGATACAAAAACAACTTTTCAATATAAAAATTGAAAACATATTTAAGAATGCAAAGACGACATTTAAGTTTCATAAATTAATAAGATTAATTTTAAAAACGTATTGTTAGGTTAGTACACTGATCATCGAGATTCGCTTAGGTCTGGTGGCCAAAATTATATGTTAATGTGCGATATAAGTGTTTGGAAAAATAAAAAAAAATAAATTAAATATATTCTTTATTTAAATTAAAACAAAATAAAAAATTTTAAAACATAAAATATTTATTTTCAGACTACATATTTTATATGAGATATACAGAAAACATACTATGGTATATGTAAATATTGGAAGTCATGTCATAAGCTATTAAATTATAAGTAAATAAAATCATATAAATAATCATTAAATAATCATTAAATAAATTAATTAAAAAAGCGTTTTACTGTTCAATATTGTTCATATTGTTGTCATGGTAGGAAACACTTAAACTACAAACTAAGCACAACAGCAGTCAAGCACTTAATTATTTTGAGATGATATTGTTTAACATAAAACATAAAACATAAAAATTAAAATTAAAATTAAAATTAATAAAAAAACATCGTTGATGGCTTTACACTGCAAAACTACTTGCCGACGAACGTTCGTCCTCGTTATCGGCAATTACCTTTTTCAGAGCAGCTAGAATCTTATCGGGCATATGGTCCTGCAGCATCACTGGCGAAATAAGTACTTCATCGAAATCTGTGGAATCAGCCCAAATGGCTTGATAAACTGGTTCGCGGCTTTTCAACACATTTCTATAAAATATTAAAAAAACTATTAAAAAAGCATTTCATATAATATATCAAGAACAACACAAAATTTTATTATTTAATAGGTTACGTGTGATCGCTAGAATTGTAGTTAGTCTAAATCTATGTGTTTAAAATTGTAAATCAATTATTTATAAGTCTAATTTCACATGCATATTAAATACTTTTTTATTTAGTATGATATTTAAATTTATTAAATAAGCTAAAAAAAAATTTATATATTTGGAATGCAGTTAACAAAACTGGGTTAACCATTTTATTGAACGAACTAAATTCTGGGGTATCATGCAAATTTATTAGTTTGCGGGTGAGAAAAACTTGGCAAAATTCGTACATGCAGTAATACCATAGTATGCCTACTACACTTTGGAAATCTTTAAGATGCCCAATAATTCATTTCAACCAACATAAAATAAAGATTGAGTTTTCCAAAAAAGTTTTCCTACCTCCAACCGCTGTCGTACTTTTGCCTGAAAATGCAAAAATTTTTAAATTTTTTGTAAAAAAAATTTCAAGAATAAATTTTAATTGAAGACTTCGTTGAATTGAAAGCCAATCACTGAAAGCTATGAAGATATTTGCAGTTGTTTTCAAACATATGTTAACTACTATTATATTGCAGTTAAACATTAAAGGATTCGAGGACATATTTAAAAATAATCTACAAATCCATTGTTTAGCCCTCAACTGTTCTGTACGATAGACGGACATACTATCACTATGTAAAAAAAAATTTGAAAATCCGGGATGTTAAACTGGAACAGTAAACCAGATCCTTAAGCGTATTCTAATCTTTTAGAAATTATAGATAGATTTCTCTCTTAACTTCATAGAAAAAGTAACTATTAATCTAGGGTTTTATATTCATAAATATTAACTGTTATATTATTGAAATATTTATAAATTTATTAACTGAATTGTGATTAAGACGCAGTGCATTAGTCAAACACATAACAAACTCTGTTGTGTTCCTAAGAATATTGGTGTTTGCTTATCAGAGCTACTAATCATAAACAATCCTTTATTGATCATAATGGTTTTCCAGAAAAATTTTGCCATTCACAAGGAAGGTACACCAAGTAGACTCCTTTGAAAATCACCGTATATTCTACTGTACAACAATAGTGTCAGTATGCAGTCTAATATCTATATTCTAACACACAGAGCACACAAGAGTTTCTGATAAGAGTTTCACAATTTGTAAGAAAGGTAAACTAAGTAGGTTTCTATGGGAACAGATTCTATGGAATCTGATTTCTCTGAAGTGGATCCAGTAGTAAACATATGGTTAATTAAACCAGTAATGTGACAATGATAAAAAAACTAATAAAATCATAATCGTCAAGTAGATACATGGTGTAAGACTTTCGAAGCTGAAGACATACGACTTTTTCTATTAACGGTAGTCGTTGAATTCTGACTTAACATATGCACACAATTTCAATGCTATTATTATTATTCCAATACCTGTTTATCTGGTTGCAACATTTATTTATATTTTCTTTGTAAAAAATAATATAACATATATGAAAGAAACGAGTAAGCAATTGTGTTAAGTGTTTGTGAAAAGCTGTTGATAGATTACCATTCCGATTTGGGTTATAATTTTCATTATTAGAGTATTTGAGTTGTTGGTTTCTTTGCTAAAAAGGCAAAAAGCTTGTTAAATGCTGGAAATGGCTGAAGCGATTAATTGAAAACAACTACAAGTTAAAATTGAATTGACGTGAAGAATATTTACATCTTTCATTGGAAAATTTAATGGTTTTTCGAAACTATAAATTACATTCTTAACATACTTACTCGTTTGGTTTAGGATGATGCCGCACGATGTGTATTATACGGCCGGGTGGATATAATGGTTGATGTAGAGTTAAAGCTATAGAACTATCTGTTGGATGAGCGCTAGTACTACGCGCACTATCACGTTGCTGCAAATATCAATGAGAAAAAAAATCTTTTAATTTATGAACTAAGTTAAAGTTATAAAGTACCTCTTGATATTGGTTGATATGAGTGTCTTTGCCAGACATTTCTACTACAGAAGTAGGCTCAGGACCACAGCCACAGCATATAACACAGGATATCGTCTTCCATTTTGGATCGATGCTTCGCTGTATTGCATTTATTAAATCAGCACGTAACGCTTCCATCTGATAGAGGCCAATACGTGGTACAAGATCTTTTCCCAAGACTACAGATGTGATGAAAGATTTGGAATACTCCACCGCTGGCATACTGAAAAAGTAAATCATTATATATGTATACGTACCAAAGGATTAAACGATCAAAGTTATATTGACATTAAGCTATAGAGATAGAAGGATGAATATAAATGCAGAAATATGCGCTTTTTAAATATTTATACTCGCAAAAAACGTTGGAGATATGAAGATATATACGTTCATTATAATTTCAATGGATTTTACATATTCTTTGATAGAAGTGACTTTTACATTAACATAGATATTTCAAATTTTTTTGCTATTTGTCTTAAAAACCGACTATACTCCAATATCAGTTTAATTGTTCTCAATTTAAATTGAGAAGGTGGAACTCTGATATTAGCTAACAATACCGTTCGTTAAAAATAACTTTAGCGCAATAAGTTATGTTATCCTTCCAGCTTTAATAATGCACAGAAGACACTTGTTTCATATGCAATTTCTGTCCCCAGAACAGATTAAGAACTCTTCTCTAGATTTAGTTCCTGACTTTGTTCACAAAGCTTTAAAAGGCTTTGTGTAATCAATAGTGAAATTGGTACATTAGGACTTTTCTGGCCGCAATACCGACTGTTGGATGATTTACGTCTAAACTTTAAATAATAACAATATATTATCCTTAAATCTTGATTTACCTTAGTAAGCCACCTGGTGGTGAGTAACTGAAATAAATATGAAAAAACAATATTGCTAGTTACCAATGTGAAATCAACAACTTACCTAAAGCACTGTAAAGAAGGATAATCTGGCTTCATAAGTATAGCTAAAATAGCTGCCGTACCAGCGCCAAGTGAATGACCTACCAATACCAGGCCAAACGTGTGTGTATTTCGATTTTGGTCAAGATTAAGGGCCTTCTCTATTAGATTTTCGTCCCGCAGCTTATTCCTTATATATATAGCTGTCTGCACCATTCCTTTATGGCCGAGCCAATCGTCACGTGGCGGCGATAATGGCAAAACTTCACCCTCGGCATTCAAGTCTGTAAGTATGTCCTTCATGCTCAGCGTACCACGTATACTGACAACAATTTTTTTTCGCGTGTAGTCAATGGCAACGAAAAACGGTGTTTCGCCGACATCCACGTGATACGTGGCATACACTATTTCGATGTCACCAACCTGTAAAGTCTTCTTTAGGGCGGCATAATTACAATAACAACAATTATCCTGTATAATTTCTGTTTCGTTGCTGTACTTACAGCAACATCCGAAGCACCTAGAATGCATTAAGTATTAAGTCATTAGATGAAAATAGCAAAGGTGCGGCATAAAGCGTGAGGATGTCTGTTGCTTACTTTAATTCCGGCACTAAATGCCATAACTTGGTACGGTTTATTATGAAATACATTGGCCACCCATAAGCACCTTGGGCAAAGTACATGTAGTGTATAACAGTTTGAAAGAAATCATAACTTTTTGCATCATTTAACGCTAGGAACTGTGTACGTTCTGTAATTGGTACTCCACTTAGAAACTCGTAGGTGCCATTTTTGCGCTAAATAACAAATAACAAAAAAGCACCAAAAATGTAATAAAATTTGTGTGCATATATAAGGAAATTTAACCTACTTGCCGCACGATAGCTTCCCTTTCGAGTTTTTGAAATTTACGTAATAAAACGAGACCGGCGACCACATCGGACGGTACCACATCCAATTCCCGAAAAAAATCACTTAACAATCGCGCAATATCTGTAAAGGAATTGCGATTCCGTTCCGACGAACCCATACAACAAAATAGCAAGCGGCAGCGATGATCCCAGCTGTCCTGGTATGCTCGCATTACTTTACTGATTATAAAAAATAATGCGAATGAATGGTAATCAGTTATCAGTTAGAAGCTGTGAAGATTTTTGCTAGACTTTTTATTTCTACTCACCGTTGACGCCAGTTGCGGTTCATACTACCGCTGCGTTTGTAATTGAAACGAGATTCTGTCTCCCGCATGGATCTTTGGTATTTCTTCATTTTAACCCAAGAGCGGCCAGCGGTATCAAATGTGCACCAAATTGTTATAAGTGTCATAAAAACTAATGTCCAATTACAGATAATAATTGCTGGAAAACGAAATATCTGTTTGTTAAAACTCCGTGCCAATTAATGATATTAAAAAATGAAAACTTATTCAGTTAAGCTATAACTTGAGTATGATTCAATAAGGGAAAATCGTTTCAGTTGTTTTATGCTCTATATTTATTAAAAAATATATGTATGTGGAAAAAATAATTTAAAGCAAAGCAATAGATTTCTTGTAGTTAAGTATTCAATCAAGTCTTAACTCCCTTAAATAAGTTCTATATATTGATACCTTTAAATACCATACTTTTGTAAAATTGTTATTAAGCATTTAAAGAATAAAACTAATGAATATGAATAGACTAGATGAAATCATTGTAGAAGAGGGTCCCAGAACTTAAGTTTATTATTAAAATTTTTTTTTATTATATTTTTAAATAGTTAATTCAAATTTACTTTATTTAACTTACCAATAAATGTTTTCTTTGCTCCATCAATCGGTGCAATAATATAATAATTGGCAAGCCATATTGTACCTAAGACTAACCATGTAATATCAAAAAATATTACCACTAGAAAAAAAAGGAAGTGATAAGATTTATTAATAAAATATTTCGATAATATATAATTAAATGTATTTTATTCAAATTAGGTTTTTTAGTATCAGAAATACTTTTGTAACTCACAGCTCTTAATATATATCCATAAATTGATCGTTGCTCTTTCCCCTGAATCAAGTATGCTCCCACGCATAGATATAATGCAAATTCCTATTTCCACACATATAGAAACTACAACAATTAACAAAATTAAAATTAAGTAAATTTGAATTTTAAAGATATAATATGAATTACTTACTAAATAATATAATTACGTATCCTATCAAATGGTAAAACAATAATTTTATACTTAAAACCGATGTGTTATATTCAAAAATGACCAACGACACTAACACTACAATAAAACTGGAAAGATATACAATATATGTTATTATATCAAGAGATAGTACTGCAACTTAGCAATGACAATATTACTGCATGTATGAGTTGTAATAATTACCATATAAAATGTATAGCTAAAAGAAAAGCTCCAGGTACCACAAGGTCATCAGATCCAACAGACCATCGTCTTCTGAAAACAACAAGTCCTGGCATCTGAAAATGTTGAAAATTATAAGGGTTTCAAACGGTTTGATGACATATTCAAATTATTGCAATATAATAATGTCATTATTTTTATTGAAAGTGATATACGCGTAAGCATATGATATATATGCAATATTACAGATATATACTACCACAATACATAATCAATTATATATACTTATGTGTATATTTCATGTTTCGCGAATTACAGAGCGAAATATCCATTCATCGTCTTTGGTTTAATTTTGCGATTGTTAGAAAATAAGTCACCTTTATCTGAAGTTTGGGTTACAGCTTACTTTCTGCAGGCAAAACATATTTTATGGATTTTTACAATCAAGCCATACTTTCTTAACTGATTTTACATTTCATTTATATTTGATTCAGGATGTTATAGTTATGTATGAAGCGAAGATTTATAAGTAAAACCAATTTTGATTTTAAATCAATAGGAACTCTGTTTCTCTTGATACTTGGATATACTTGAGATACTTGGTGCCTGTTCAGATCCCGTATGGGCATAAGAGGTTTTACAGATGATGTAGTTCTTTTCCTGTCAGACCTAGTTAGCCCGTCATATTCGTGCAATAAATGAAATATCAATAAATAAAAGAATAGCTTCAACAATATTAACACGTACAATAGTTGAAGCTGTTCGTAGGAATAGAAATGATCACAAGTCAATTTGTTAGATGGTATGACGAAATTGAAAATTTGACAAACGATTTAAGTGTTGTTCGAGCGCAACCATGATTAGGTTCAGTTAGGTTAATCTGGTGGGGTGTAAACGTTATACAAAGTTGGTGGTATTTAGCAATGCCTGATAGGGCAAGAGTTCTTTGTATATTTGTAGTAAGTATCACTCTGTTTGACAGTCTCTATAAAACTGAGAAACTGACACTTCACAAATTCTCAAATTCCTAGCATTTATAGCGTGTTCTGTGATAGGGCAAGAGTTCTTTGTATATTTGTAGTAAGTATCACTCTGTTTGACAGTCTCTATAAAACTGAGAAACTGACACTTCACAAATTCTCAAATTCCTAGCATTTATAACGTGTTGGTGACAAAACAGGATAGGATAGAAAAATAAGTGGGCTGTAAACCTTATACAAAGCTGGTGGTATTTAGCAATGCCTGATAGGGCAAGAGTTCTTTGTATATTTGTAGTAAGTATCACTCTGTTTGACAGTCTCTATAAAACTGAAGAACTGACACTTCACAAATTCTCAAATTCCTAGCAATTATAGCGTGTTCTTGACAAAATAGGATAGGATAGAAAAATAAGTGATATTTCAAAGTCTCCTTAATCTTCAGGTCGCTTCATTTTCAACATTTATCATTAATGGTAATTCGGAACTTGTATACATGTGCCAATAGTAGGCTTTAATCCATCAGAATGTCTTATATTGTTCTGTAGTCTCTCCATGACGAGCCTAGTACAAAATCCGTGTATCGCCCTATAACTAAAATACAGCCGTCCTTTCAGGGCAAACCTTTAAGTTTCACATTTTTCGACGTCTATAGCACTTATAATAGGATATGAGGTAATTGCTTTTATTTCTGTCATTTACTCAGGTGTTTGTCTTGGAGTAATATGGCTAATTCCCCGGCTTTTCACATAGCAAAAACTTCCTCTTGGAAATTTTATAGTTGCTACCGCAACGAAGATGGTGTGAAATCTTCGATGCAGGTTAAGATATGATAATTAGAAACTGTCAGTCCTGCGAGTAGAATACCCGCATAGTGACGAATTAGTATGCTACATATACGTAATATTCTATTATTTAATACAATTATTTTATTTATAATTGATTAATTAAGTTGTGATTTATTGTAGCCAATATTAAACTAAAAGAAAATAGATTGCTCAAATTTGCTGTGTCAATTAGCTCCGAAGTACACGTCACACACGCTACTTTTAAAATGCGGATTGACGATAGAAATTTATGATTCAGAGGTTCAAAATCAATTATTTTCTCTGTCGCAACGTAGAGCAAAGTTCTTATTTTTATTTCTTATATATTTATTATGTTTTTGAATATAAAATATAAAATGAATAAAATGTTTGAATGGTTGATAACAATTGACGATAACAGTCGTAATTTTATGACGATATCGTATTTAGATGATTATTGGGACCTATATATACGTTCGTCAGTTATCCCGAATGTTATGTGGTCATAACAATTTTTATTATTAAAAAATTTTGCAAATCACTTTGGAAAATAAAATTAAAAATATTTTAATCAAATAAATGCTAGTTTAACTGATAATTACTCATATTTCAATTGTAGCATTCCTTAGTTATGAATATTTGATAAATACATATACATGAGTATTCAAGTTTGCTCCGTACTTTCTTCTGTACCGTTTATAGCTTGTACAGTAGTCGCTACTAGGAGCGCCTAATCTAGTGATTATCTAAAAAGAAATAACCTGTGATGATGGTGGAAAATATATTGAAATTGCTTTTTATTAAATAAAGGCGAATTATATCTATTTAGAGATATATACGTGGCAGGTATTTTCTGAGTATCAAATGTCTATTATTGGAATTGTTTAATGTCGGTTAAGACATTTGAGTAAAAGTAAACGGATCCGTTTTTATTGGAACATATCTATTTCTATATGAATATTTACAAGTTGTGTTTGCCAAGCTCCTCAGATTCGCAACTTCTACTAGAATGCTTATTTATCTCATTGAGAGACGAGTGGCACATTAGTACCACTCTTGACACCATGTCTAGCAATGCAAGTGACGTATTTGCAGTCTGACAGGTGCGAAATTGCAACCTTCCTTAGTAGTGATCATAATTTTGAATCTGCTATGGAAAGTTCTAATTCGATTCTAGTTCGTATCTAGAAAGCAGATCAGGGAAAGAACCCAAAAGAACAACTTTTGTTATTGAACAATTAAAATAGCTGGAGAATGAAAAAGAAGGTGTTCCAACGAAAAAAAGAACAAAGTTTCGCTCAAAATTTATTAATATCATTTATTAAAAAACAGGTCAACTGCTACACAAGTCTGTTGAGATATGCACACACCTACTTTCGCCATTTATCAATCACATTCAGGAAGGTTTTTGCCATTGGCTTTTTAATTACAAAATATTGTTTTGCATATTTCACTCCTTGGTTATGTTCGTGGTCTGGTTGATATAGTCAAAGTTCATTGGCATATCTGCAAACTTCTAACTAATTAATTTATTTGTCTCCACTCGAATTAAATCGGATTAAAAATACATTATAATCTTATGATCTATTTATAAAGGAAAAAATTAAATATTCTTTAAGCAAATTGTTACTTGGTAAAGAGGTTCCTATTAAAAATAATAGTCACTTATGTCATAACTGACGTTAAATTACAACTTATATAAAAAATTATTATTTTTGCAATATTTCAGTGAACTGAAAACATATTCCATTTTTTTCGAAAACACTTTTCGAAAATTACAGATTAAATATATTTGGCAGATTCCGTAATTTTGAATCAATTTAATAATCTATTGTTATAAATTTCTTCAGTTTTCTTATATAAAATATTTGTTATTATCTAAAACATTACTAACTCTTTTAAGATTATTAAATACTTTTTCGTTTAGTCGGATTATTTACTTCAATTGTAGTGTAAATGCTGCCATAAAAATGCAAAAACGTTGACAACTTTTGTGCTAAGTGAGACGCAGACATTGAAGTAGACATTGTATAAGAGCATTAAAGCTAATCGGTGCTTAAACTACAAAAATATGCAAATAAGCGAAAATAACCGAAGCCCCCACAGGTGAGGCGGCCTACAGAGGTAACTCCACAGGTTTTTCTGTACTGAAGCTATGTGCGCTCTGAAAACTACACTATAAAGGTGGCATTGGGTGGAATGGGATGGTATGGGATGGGATGAATGGCGTGAAAGAGTGTGCCAGGCTGAGCAAACTACACATTTATTACTTAATTGCTGTAATTTCAACTGGTAATTAACAGTTTATTGTTGTACGATTGTAATTACAACCAGAAATTAACAGTTGAACAGTCGACTTTTATGGCAACCGAGGGTTCCGTGCGCTTCTTAGCCCTCCTCGATATGGCAAAAAGATATCAATGTGCATTTCTAGTAAATAAATAAAAATATTTAAACAGCAATTATACAGAACTGGTTACTTATTTGCACATTTTTTTATTTTTTAAATATTTGTTAGCAATACTTTTAGTGTTTTTGTTCACTCATGAAAACCGCAAAATTGTGAAGTTTATAAACAAATTTCAGCCAAATAAACATTCGAGAAGATATATTTTGTTTAGTGAACGTAGCGGATTAGCTCATCTTTGCCTCACTTACCTTCAAGTAAAACGATTTTAGTTCAGTATTAGTTTTTACGATTTGTAAACACACATTCTTTCTGCTCACCGAACTGACTATGGACTGACTATAAGCGATAAATTATTTTGGAATATATTTTTTGAATTTCAATGCTGGGAATTTACACAAAATTGCCTTTCATGGGCCATCAAGTCCATTATTTACAATGATTGGAAATATTTACTTAAATCAAATCGATCAGACTTCCGATTAGATTTTCGACATTGTATTTATTTATATTTATTTCATGCATCATTAATTCATATTCATTCAAAACACAATTATTTCGCCATATAAATATTGGCATTTGCATAAATTATTTGCGCTACCAGCAGCTCCACTGTTAAATATAAATTTGCTCCACTGATTAATATAAATTTGCAGCTCTTGTGGCTACTCGACATTTCCAGTTCCCACTTCGAATTGACATTTTTGTGCCGTAGTTGTTAGGTTCACACCAATCGCGATTGCGAAATCTAATTGTCATCGTCATGCAGTATCTTTCCATATTTAGTGCCAACCGCTGAGATAAGATACGTTGAGTGTAAACACAGTATTGATAAATTTCTCCATTAATTGCATGCTAATACATTAATCCAGATATATAAATAATATTGTTACAAAGGTTGCGCTTAAAACACATTTTAGTAATGT